ACTTTTAAGGTATATAGTTGGCAAAGGTAGAGTTTTGATTAGGTACACGCGTTCCCAGATAAATGCATTTATCAAGATTTTTATCTTCACCTCTTATTCAACCAGTCAAAAATAGCGTATTTTAATATAAATGTCGATTATTTCAATCGATTTCTATTTAATTAATTTAGTCTTGAATGTGAGACTAGATAACTGCTACATTAGGAGTTTACTTGTTTTCATCTGAACACGCAGTAATAAATATTTAGTTCAAATGGAGGGTTTTTATGATAATTATTACTAGTCTTTTAGCTGACTTCGAGGATCACTGAGGGGAGGGGGGGGGAACATCAAAGTGAGAAAAATTCGAGAGGGGGGAAAAAAGAGTGTTTCAAAGATGTAAAAGAGACAAAGAGATAAAAAGGCAGAGAAAAGGTAAGATGAGTACAGTGAGGTCATGATAGTTCGAAATTTTATAAAGCGAATATGACATAGAGAAGTCAACTGCCAGTTAATAGATCTTTTGCCGTATGAGAATACGTTGCCCAGGGTGCACCACGTAGAGGCAAGTCTATCGCACACCCCTAGTTATAAATATTTAACTCATCCTGATTTATCGAAAGCATTTCAATGGCAAATTTCCATTCGATTAAATCGAGAACTCAATAAAATCATGGAAATTTTTTGAAATAGGCGCAATCTTGGCAGGAGTTAAATAAACCGGCCGCTGTAATTTTAACCGCGTGCAATGTGCTCATACGCATGACCTTCATAATCCAACCACTGTTAAGTCAACTGAAGATTATAAAAGACAATGTAAACTGAGATTTCACCAACCATTCCCGTAGATTTAATGTGCGTGTGTTCCATATTTTAGCGATATTTTCTAATAAAGCGTATCTTTGTTTCTCTAATAATCTGACTTGACTATTGTAGAATGTCTCACTACCCTAATTCGATGGGATTCAACCAAAACCCCAACCAACAACCTGGTTTTTCCCCACCTCAAATTTCAACCTATCCGCCAATGGGGTCCCCTGGAGTACATGCAAATCAAAGTGGACAAATGAATTTCCCTGCTCAAGGTGGTCAAGCAGGCTTTGTCAATCCAGGTCAAATGGGCTATCCCCAAGGTCCCACAGCGCCGCCGTCTTATGGAAATGCTAGCTATTACCCTGCCGATGGTGGAGGCTTTTTAGGACCAAATTCTGGAATGTCACAAAATCATTTAGCCCCAACTGTTTTTTTGCCCTGTACTCCACCGCCAAATCAATATCCGAATACGCCAAACCAGGGAAATATGAATCCCTACGGCCATCCTGGTTCATCTGGTTACAATACAAATCCTGGCACCTCTCAGTGCTATCCACCTCAGGGTGGTCGTCCGTGTAAGCTCCTTGTGCAAACGGTTCACAGAAAATGTGGAATAGCTTTTATAAACGCTTCTTTATTAGTTACCTCAATAAATTAGATGAGATAGGCTTATCCTGGTTCAGAATAGGAAAGCTAAGTGTTAAAATTCAACATGACCCCATTTTCATAGATCTTTATTTTTTGTTTGCAGATTGAGAAGAAAGACGATTTCTCCTTGCGAAAATCACCAATGTGCAAGTATGCTATTTCCAATAACTGTTTATCTGTCAACTTTGAAAGGAGACGAAATATATTTTGTTAAATTTACGCTTACTATCTTCATTCTGAATGGTAGAACTAATGAATTAGTTCATTTCAGTTATATTATTGGGGTCACTATGAAGGAAATCTGTCTTCAAAATTCTATTCATCGTCAAGCCAATATTAAGCAATTCGAGTAAATTGCGTTGACAGAAACAAAGATTTCTTAATAAATTTTGTGGGGATTCTTGCAAAAGAGTAATATTTACTCAAGTAAGATCATTAAATATTGCACTCTAAGGGCTAACAGTATAAAGAGCTCTGCTAATTTAAAAAAAATCGATTTCCCATCTCTGTCAAGCTAAAACCATATACTGCGTAGTGTCTTTAAAGATCAGTTGTCTATTCAACAGGAGGGCAAAATCGTCAATATTCGTCGAATATTATAGATAGGGGTTCTCCACAAACCATATGTACAAATCCTGAAATTTGAATTTTAGAACCTGAACCGCGTATTTCATAAATATTGTGCAAATCAATTCCAAATAAATGAAATTGAATTTGAATTTATGACATCTTTTTATGACTCTTTTGGGTTTCCTTATCTTCATAGTTTACTCGATGTCAATTGAGTCTCCTAATATATGTGGGTATCTTTTATATAAAGAGGAGCATAATACCAATAATGATATGCTCTTAACAACTTACTTACCATTATAATTAGCATATTATAAAAGTAAAAATAAAAAAATTCACACCTTTGCTTATTTTTGTTTAATCTTATTACGACAAACTGATTTGGTCGAAGTGTAAATGAGAGGTTTTTGATATTAGTGTTGAATGGACATTATTTTTTGTTTATATAAAAAAATTACCTAAACGTAAATTAAAATCTTAAGAAAATCATAATTTCTTGGCTCATGAACGGTCAAACGTTTAATTTTTGCATTATTGACAAATTACCCAGGTAACTTCTAATGGTATTGAATTATTCAAGTTAAAAATAGTTTCCTCTTTAATATTTGTGTACAACATGGCTATTAAAGGGTATAGAATTTGTAGAGCCAGGGTTTTTGCATAGTTTCTACATCAAAATAAGAGGCCTTCGAGATATTTTTAAATGGCTGTTTCTTTAATTTTTTTAAATAGGCATGATTTCGACAAATAAAAGCGAGAATACCTCTTTTGATTATGATTTTGTATAATGTATAGGTTAAGTTAACGTTCATAATGCTGAATCGTGCAACAGGTTTCCATTCTAAGAACGTTATACCATTTCTGTATGAGGAAATTGATGAGCACAATTAATAAATGGCCAATTTTCATTTAAAAGTGTGTATTTTGTAGCGGATTGGTACTTTATTAAAGCCTGACTGACTCAGAAATCTC